CTCTCGACATAAGCTTTTTTTATGCTAATGAAGCGTCTAGGTTATAACATTTTTATGATTTTTCTTTTTTTTTTTTAATTGTCAAATTGCGTCTTTGCGACGATATTTGACGAAGTACAGCAAGCTGTGCAGTGTGACCTAATCAACATATTTTTATGATCTTTATATCACCGTAAAGCTTCAATTATGACCTTTCTTTTGAGTAGCAGTTAGTTCAATATCAAACCATAAACATTAAAACAATTCGGAATTAGTAAACAAATCACTAACACGTTTCAAGCCTAAGACGCTACGAAATGCTCGTTATTTTACAACAAAATCCGTACGCGCACAAAAAAAAAAATAACGTACTTCGTAAGCGTCAAATACTAAATCGTACATATGTCTATGCACTGCATATCTGTTTGACATAAAAATATGACAATTACATATCAAGTTCGGTATTCCAAACTCATAGCCAAAAGCAAAAGGGCCCGGAGGAATTCTCTGACGATCTGCGTTCCCCCGTATGGGGAGGAAGCAAGCGCTGGGTGCCCGCACTCTTGGATACGGACTTCTAAGTAAATTTTTTTCCGTACACTACTCCAAATTTTATTAACGTTCATGGTTGGATACTGATGTAGCTGCGAACGATAAAGGGAAAACCTTATAATGGCCAAGATTCTGCTCAGCTGAGCGCCTGAGCGAAGCCCCGTTCAAAACGCTTACAGCGCGAGATTTTAGCCTTAATAGCGGCCATACAAACCATATATTGCAATTTCAGTTGATAGTTCCTGATAGACTACTATGTTCCCTAACTGTGAATACAAAATGAAAGAAGTTAAAGGTGGGGTTTTTAGAAAACCGACTTCAAACTTGCTAGTTTTTTTTCGAATTATTCGTTCCTCAGGCACATGTAGCGCATTATATGTTTATTGCAAAATATTCAAATTGTAGCAAAAAAAAACAAACAGCTTAATTGGAGCTTTACGGTGATATAAAATCATAAAAATATGTTCATTAGGCCACATAACCTCAGCTTGCTGAACTTTGTCAAAGATCGTCCTAGGATGGCGGTTTGACAAATAAAAAAAACAAAAAAAAAACATTAAGAATATTATGACCTAAACACTTAATTAGCATAAACAACAAATGACTAGAATGTTCCCAGAAAATATGGAAAAGTGATGGAGTGAAATATCGCACCCCCGATAACCTAGAAAAACCTTAGTTTCCACCACGGCCGCTTCAACGGTCCATAACTTGAGAACAAAAAATCCGCCGAAATTGTCGTTTTGCGCATTCTTTTAATATAGCAATTGCCCCAAAACATACTTTTTGAGAAAATTAAAAATTCGACCCAAAATTCGTGCCTTGTTTGAAATAAAATCTCCCATATAAAGAAAATATAGCGTAGGATGCCGAAGACTATAAAGTAATGAAGTCGCACTTCGAATATCTGTTGCTCGCGCAAAGTGATTGGGAAACCCTCCAAGGAACTCATTGATCGCAGCCTCGTGCATTCGTAAAGCAGATAATATTTTTAACCTTAATCAGTGCGACTTCCGAGCAGGACGTTCTTCTGCTTTTCACCTAGTTCACCTAAAAACATTTATTAGCGAAGCGTTTGTGCACCGTCATCACTATGTCTCCGTATCTTTCCATTTTCATGAGGGCTGCAACACGACGCGACAGTATTCGATACGTAACGATTTTTATAACTAAAGTTTTCAAGGCAGCGTTTTACACATTATTGGAATTGTTTTGACGAAGCGAATCTTTCAAGTCATATTAGGTTGCACCTTATCGGATCTGTATTTCCATCAAAGTGGTGTTTTTTTGCGAAGGATGTCAGGTGTGAAACGCCTTGCAATAAAAATGAGTGACCTGGCAAATATATGACAGCACCATCACTATCTTATTTCCTACATATGTACGATATGCACAGGTCTCTTTCTTCTTGCAAAATGTACAGATTTGAGCGGCTGCGGCAATTTACAACCAACTAAATAAAAAATAGGCACAAAAAGACGGTTTAAAGTTTGGCGCTGAAAAGGTTCTTAACCTTTTTACTGCAGAGTGGGCGGTGTTTAGATTCGATTTTTATTATGAACATAATGGTTATATTCCTAAAGTTGGCATACTCGGTATTAGGCATAGCTCTCGATAAAAGCCTCGCGTTTATGCGTCACATTAAGGAGTTAAAAAATGCCTGTGATCCTCACACATTCCTGAAGTCTTGTCACATATGCCCTGGATAGCAGACCCACGTCGCCTATAGCAGATTATATTGTTTGGTACGGTCTCGCCTAGATCATTCTACATTTGTTTTTGGATCAGCACGGCAGTCTGCCCTAAATATATTTGGTTCTGTCCATCACCTATGGCGCAGATCTCTCGATGGTGAGTTCCACACAACTCCGAGACACGCCAAATGCCTGTTGAAAGATGAAGACCATAAAGCCTCTGATATTCATATGAAGTGCAGATTTATCCATACCAGTCTTTCTTTGCTCTTCAAACATTTAGATACTCCTGACGTTTTGAAAACAAACCGAGTATTGTTCGGCCACCTATTTTTCGACTTAAAAGTTTGACAACAACACTCAATCCTTCTCTTAGTCTATGTTACTCTGCCGCCAAACACTGAAATAGTTGCTCCATGTGATTTCTGGACTTTATAGTGATTCTTCACTATGTACACTAACGTTGGTCCGCTACTCATTCTCCAGCAGGAGTTCGCTGCCTCAGTGCAGAAGTATGTACATAGCATTAGCTTTTATACAGGCGGAGCAAGAACATCAAACCTTCTAGGTTGCACAGCTTATTCCAATACATTAAGAAAAACCACAATATTTTAATCTATTGCTCTCGATTTCACTGCTGAATTGTAAGGTGTACTTTTGGTCATCCACTGTAATGTGTATATTAATATAATATAAGGACTTACTTCCATCAATTCCCAGAGCCCTCGTACATTCAGATTTCTTTTAGTTGAAGAGCAAGAACCCTCATGCGCAGCGCGAGCGACTACAGGTGAATGAGGCCCTTCAACTTGGACAGGTCATACCATTCTGAGCGAAGCCCAGCAACATGGGTATTCTTAACAGGGGTAATGTAAACGCAGACATGCTTCAATTATAGGTAACAGCGCACAAGGTAACACACACTAAGGACATAGGCATAACGGCAAAAAAATAACCTCTTACTTCGCGCTGCCGGTATGCGTGTGTTTGCCTCTGATTTGCCGGTTTGGTTTGCTCTGCGTGTGTTTGCTGGTGGGTTTTTTTGGTTTGTGTTTGGTGAGGTTGTGCGTGTGCGTGTGTTTGCCGGTGTGCATGTGTTCTGAGTGTGTGAGTTATCTTGTGCGCTGTTACCTATAAGCCATGAATAATCAACACGCCTAGCCTCCCTCTCAGGCGGATACATTTACCACCCCTTTGATTGAAGGGATTCAACATTCTCTCCGCCGGCCCCAGCAGCCTCTGAAATTAGTTTTTTGGAAGTCATTATTAACTCTTTTTACGTTTGACGGGTATATAAAAACAGAGAACAAACTTTGTCATCTAACCTCCCTTGGGGATGTGCGAGAGTTATACCCAGGGATTAAATTAATAAATACAAGTATTTGAAATACGTATTTCAAATACTTTGTGTATTTTGCATTTGTAGTTAATTACAAATTGGGTAATGTATTTGACGTGTGTATATAAATACTAAAACGTAGGTACTTCAAATACAATTGTAATTAAATACCATTTTGTGGGCGAAAATACATCCCTCAAATTTATTGTCACTGTCCAGAGCAGGAAGAAAACAACGTTTTGTACCGAATGCAGTGTCTCTCAATCAAGTATAAGCGTTTAATGACTTTTTGATTACGGTGCTAGTCCAGGGCAAGAATAGTGACGAAATCGACGTTCACAGGCAGACTGGTTAAATAAGTGCCTGTGACAGCTTGTGATGGTTTCCAGCCTGATTTCCATCCATATTTTTGCCTCGAACATTCTAAATGCGCGGGCCGTCCAGATTTTCGTAACTGGTGCAAGTTGCAACAATAAAAAATTCTCTAGCTAGTTCTGCGCGTCTTGGTCGGCTCGGTTCTTTGTTGGTCTATACCAAAATGTAATCGACAAAAAAAGCGGCTGGAAGCTCTGTACTTTTTTCACCTATTACGTCCAAGCTGATTACATTTTTTTTGTGATTATATTTCTATTACGTTACTAGAGCCTCGCACACTAACTCCCGAGTGTGCGATGCAAAAGTAAAATGAGATACCAACAAACCCGTTGCAGGTGCCCTGAAGTCGCTAACGCAAATTTTGAGGAATGTATTTGCAAAAGTATTTGGAGGAGACCAAATACATTTGGTTGTATTTGTATCGTGTACTTAAATGTTTTTTGAAAATGTAATTAGATTCGTAACTAAATACATTTTTGACGAAGTATTTTGTATTTGTATTTCGATACATATTTGCATGTATTTTGCCCATCCCTGGTTATACCTAATATAAATTTCCCTTTTTAAGGTCGCTCTCGTCGCTCTCGTCCGACTTATATTTATTTATTTTGTTGTGGGAATATAAAAATATCTCGGAGCTGTGGAAAAATAGTTACAGTCCGGCATGTTTTATGGCACTGCAGATGTATAGATGCCCAATGCGAATTCTCTTTCCCATGAATTTTATTCATTATCTTTCATTCCAATTTTATGTCTTACTTAATGAACAAATTCGAATGCCGTTTTAGCATATGTAGTACATGTAAAGCTAACTGTTTATACCAGCTTCACCGTTTAACTCCTTCTGAGATAACGTTTGGGCGTCTTGAAACACTTGCGTTTTTCACAGTAAATGGTCTGCCACTGAAATTAAAATTATGGTATGATATTGAAGTATTTGATCATATACGTGTACTTTAATGCACAATTATATACGTTTTCTTTTATATTCCAACGCGAATTAAATATTAAAGCATAGCTAAGGAAATCATAATAAAACAAAACGGAATTTTTGTTTTCAGCATTATTATACAATGAGCATTGGAAACTGCTGGGTGTCTTGCACAGAACGCTATCACGATTTTCTTTTACCCCCTGCACAATGTGAACGAATATTCGAGGTGGTAAGTCACTTTAGAATTACTCTGTCTTTGTCTCACAATTGGGAATGCAAGTACCATTGATGGGTGATTCTGGATATATCAGATACTTTAAACAATATATTTTTTTTATAATCCATTTGCAAATATTTTTATCTTAGTCAGTTTGCGAAACCTTCATGGCGCGTACAAAATGAAAAAAAAAATTGTAATTCTTAGTCAGGCGTTAAGGTCATTTGCCATTATTAAAACTGCGCTGAACATGCATTCAAAGCGAGCATTTGATAGTATGTATATACTATCAGCATTATACATAGCATATATTAACTCAGAAACGGTGACAATATTGTTTTTTTTTCCTAATAGGAATACTGGGCGACGTACCTGAAGATGTTTGGTGAACTTCCGCCGTACGGATTTGAGGTTGGTTTAACACTGCCTCTATATATATTTCGCTGCAGTGTCCGCCTGTTTCTTAAAATGTACTATCCACACATAACTTTCCGTTCAGGAGGGAGTCAGAACAATAAAAAATTTTGCTTTGTAGTGTTCAGGAGGAGATGGTGAGCTGAGAAATGCAGCCTGCATGTTGGAAGTAAGCCTTTACAGTAAACGCCCCTACTGCTAATACGTTTCTTTTTTTACTAACATAACAATATACTCGTGCTATTTGGAATCACTATTCAGTAGAACATTTGATCTAATTTAAGCTATGAATATATCAATAATGTTTTAAACCATTTAAATACCACGCATTCAAAGCAATAAGGAAACCAGTAAATAGATAAAAATATGATGTTTGCGCGGTACGTATCAGATGTTTAAATGCAGCTCTTCATTTGGATAATTTCCAAAAAATAGCATTGCTGCCATAAGAAAAATGCCATGTGAAAATTTTAAGAGATTGGCTCAAGACGTGACCGACTGCAGATTTTATATTCGTCAGTGCGTGGAGATATATGTTTTGCAGTACTGTATTGTGTAACTAAAACACTGGTTACGGTTAGGTTTCACTCAAATTACACTCACATTTCCTCCTGTGAACCTAACATTATACATGCATACATCATAAGGAGCAAAGTTCCCTCAGCACGGTCGCTCTTTAATGATACATTGCAAAACAATTCAGCTTAAAAAAAAGAACAATTCATTGTCCGGTTTGAGGATAAGCATCAACGTTACCGCTGCGCGAAACCCGCATGCATTCTTGTTGCAGCTTTATATAGATCCCTCTGAGGAGTGCAGCCAAATCGCCTCTGTACAGCATCTAAAACTGAGCCCTAAAGTCTCAGCCGTCTCGTTGGAAAACTAATCAGTCCAGAAAGCGCGTCTGTGAACGATCAATAACCTGGGTAGAAGTTTTCAACTCAGACATCCTCCGGCTTACGTAAATGATAGCATGGGACCCACAGGCGGAAGCTTCTTTTCATCAAAGCTCTTACAATATGAAAACTTTAACCTTCTTACGGAAATCAAGTTAGTCATCTTGTAATAAGATAGATTCGTGTTGTTTTCTTTTAAAACATAAAGCGAATTAGGATCCTAATACGAATATCTACCCACACACAAAAGTACAACCACAAAACGTACAGTAGAGAATTGACGTTTTTTAACCATCAGAGTCTATATTTCTGTAAATTTATCTAAGGGAATAGCATTTGTGCGTGCTAATTACGACCTTTGGGGAGTGATAAAGAGGACTCGAAGCCGAGTATCAACACAAAACCAGAGCAATGCAGAGGTCCTTCGTCTATATTGTTTCTAGTGTTACTGTTTTGCCCGAATCCCCTAAAGGAACAGCAGAAACAGAAGACATTGACAAGCCTTAAACACGCGAATTATGCACACGAAGGTATCTTTCACAGGCTTTGCAATTAGTAGTGCTTCCATCACGAGCACTGAGAGAGTGCGAGCCTGACAAAGGTGCCTTCGTGTGCGTGCTGCGCATGTATGAGGATTGTCGCTATCGGCTGTTTCTGTTTGTCGCACTAGTGGGCATCGGCCATGATGAAACTTACAAGCTTTTAAAGGCAAGACATTTGATTGTGTCATGTGAATCTTTGAAATACTCGACCTCGGCATGCGGAAGACAGCGCTTCGCCATAAATCCTCGGAATTTGGTGCTCGCACCTGATAAACTAGGAAGCATACAGGCGGCTCTCAAGCTCTCTCAGCGTGGTAAACCTCATCAGGTTCTTAGTTTTTAATTAGGCAAGTTGCACAGCGTGGTAGCGTCTTGTCACCATCGAAAGTGCAACACATACGTAATAAAATATATGACGAAGAGCGAAGGCATACTAGCGCGTTGGCCGTTGACATGCGGAAGTGAAAGCGCCCGAATACAAAATACATGGTACTTGCCGTAGCATAAACAATTTATATTGGTTATGTTTTTACTTAGGCTGCTCTATTAGGGGACACATTTTTGTGGTTATATAGTTAGAGCTAGAGGCCAGAGCGTAAGATCTACAGGGTGATTCAAGGAGACGCCAGGCTCTTTAAATCGAAAGCGAAATTCGGTTTCTTAACCTATCGCGCTACGATTTTGTGCAGCGTTGCCCACAGATGATGCTTTTTTTTTTTTTTTGTAAAATTTGCAAAGAGCGAAATTACCTGAGGAAAAAGTAAAGAAAGAAAAAGGCTCATTTATTTGTAAACGCAGCGACACCACCGGTCTTCAAACAACACGGCGCCGTTTCGCACGGGAGACAAGAGATGGCGCAAGCGGTCGCGAAGCCAACTGCCGCCAACGAACAAACATACGACGCCGAGAGCCGGCGTCTTTAGCAGACAAGGAACTGCAGTTCCTTGTTGTTACCGCGCCTGTTTTTGTTTCTGCGACTGTCGCCGCCTACCGAACGCGCGCCGCATTTGAGCCGGAAAGATCGTCTGCTAACCACGCCGGCTCTCCGCGCCGTATGCTTGTTCGTTGGTGAAGTTGGCATCGCGACCGCTTGCGCCATCTCTTGTCTCCTGTGCGGAAAGGCGCTGCGTTGTTTGAAGACAGGTAGCGTCGCTGCGTTTCCATAGGAGCTAAGCCTTTTTCTTTCTTTACTTTTTCCTCAGGTAAGTTCGCTCTTTGCAAATTTTACAAGAAAAAATGCACCATCTCGGGGCAACGCTGTACAAAATCGTAGCGCAATAGGTTAAGAAACCGAACTTTGCGGTCGATTTAAAGAGCCTGGTGGCTCCTTGAATCACCCAGTATATAAGTGGCAACACACAACACGGCCAGCGCTGTGACGCGATCGGCCAAATAATGTCCTTTTGACGCGCGCTTGATTAGCCATAGACGACAGTGCCTCCACCGTACAGACGGCGCAAAGGAGAGAAAAGAGACAACACGACCAAAAAGTAGCGCTACAATCGCACGACGTAGCACGTTTATACAGTGGCAGAAAGGTCATGATGTGTTTTCACGCCATATTTAGCGCAGAAACTCAATTGGTGCACATTTCACATGACGTCAATTTTTGCGCTAAATTAACTGGGGAACGTAAATGTGTCTATTGTTGCAATGACGTCAGTTTACGTGACATTAATTTTCCCGACAAATTTAGCGTGCAAACAGAAGTGGTGAATAGGTCACGTGAGGTCATTTTATCGCTAAATGTGGAGGAGAAACTGATTTAATGCTGAAGCCACAAGCCATCAATGTTTTCGATAAATTTAGCGGGAAATTGAATTCGTGCATATGTGATGTGCCGTAAATTTTTTCGCAAATTTAGCGGGGAAATTGTTTCGTTTCTATTCATGCCGTCGCGAAAGCGAGGGACGGATAAAAAAACATCTGCCGCTTTAAAATGCTTCGTTTTCTTGCTAGGGTGGGGAGGTGTACCGAGCGCTCTGCGTTCTTGAGTAGTTCCACGTACCGCCGCTTATTGGATACAAAAGTGGCATCGTAGTTCCAGATACTGATTCATTTCTGCCCGAAGGCGCGTGACGTGAACAGTCTCCTCGGTATTCGCTGACGTCGGCGCGAGCGCACGGGGCACGGGAGCGTTTCGCGTTCCGTGTGGTCATCCAGAGCGCACCTGTAAGCCGAGGCTCCTTGAGAAGAAACCAGACTTGTACGTAACTTAAATACTCTACTCAACTTACTTTATCATAAATACGTTTTTGAGTAACTTGATATCTTTCAAATACTTTCGACCGTCAGTATTTAGCACTCTAACTTAAATATTTTTTCAAGTACCTTCTACTCATTTTAAAGTTACTTTTAAGTTACTTTCTATTTGTTATGTTCTTTAGAGGCGGGAAGCTTGGAAAATATTGAACTCCAGTTATTTTGGCTAGGCGCCCTGCCATTGCAGACACATTTCGTGCCAGGTAATACAGTGCACTTCCGTGCTTCTGCTGAAAGAGGTGACGCTAAGAAGCAGGTGTCGCAGCCTCAAGCTGAGCGGACCTGTGTCGTGTCTTCTAACTGGGCAAAGCGTCAAAGCACATTTTCTTACAATTTGTTTGTGGCCAAGCACAAGAGCAACAGAAATGGCGAAGCAGAAGGGCAAGCGGGTGAGAGCATAAGATGCGTACAACGCTACAAGCCAGAGGGAGGGCTTTTGTGTCGGAAAGAAAGTGGATTCTGCAAGTGTCTGGTAAGAGTCGACAAAAAACCGGAGTTCATTTTTCTGTGTTATGGAGTGAAAGCATATGAAAGAAAGCATTCCAGCTCCAGAAATGCCTTTGCATCCGCATGCAGTCACTTGCACCGCTCGTTCGTTTCACTAGGCTCTTTTCGCACACAAGGCTCGTTAGGACGCGACTAAACGGCTCCAATCCGGCGGCCCATCACTCGCGGCGTACACAGCATTAGCGAGTTTTAGTAGACCGTGTTTCTCCCTTCGCCAACCCTCCGCTACACTCTAAGAAAAAAACGGAGGAAAAAGGTAGCAACGGCGCGTCTTCCTCCCTTCTACTGGCGCGCCCCCAAGAGGACACGAGAAGAAGGGAGGAACGAGACGTTTTCCTCCTTCTCCAGGCAGACGGGGAAAGCTTTCGCTCTCCCGAGTCATCTTCTTTCGGTTTCGTTTTTCGAGCACGTCGCGCACGTTGTTTAATAAATGCTCTTGAGTTGATTGAGCTTCATCGGCAGCGAAGGCCGCCTGTAATTCCGTCTTCTAGTCCAAACGCGCAGAACATTTCGGTTGCATTGACGTTTTTACCACTAATTTTATCAAACCAGTAAAGGAAGTCGCTAGAAACAGCGAACTTCCGGAGCAATGCCAGCAGCGCTACGGACACTGGGTAAGATGGCCGTTTCTGGATTGCGGGATTCCGGGACCCACGCGGAACTACAGTAGCGAAACCACGCGGAACTGTGCCGACGTTTTAGACGTTATGGAAATCGGAGGAACTGTTCCCAAGGCAGGCAGATTTGTTTGCCGGCTGCCTGGGTGCCGTCCGTGCCGAGTTCGGTTTTGTTTTCCCGTGCCGATCGCGAGTGCCAACCGGCGTTCAACGTGGTTCAGTATTTCTGCGTGTCAGCAGCATCGTCATGTGCGTAGAGAACAGAAGACTGGAATTATCGCCGATGTGACCGTGTGTTCGCGTATGAGTGGTATAACAACAAGATGATATGACGTAAACTGTCGGACATTGATGCCGCTGGTCGGGGCGTGATTGGAGGGGACGGGGTTTCGCAGGTTGCCACTCCCCTTTACATTAAAAAGTTTAATACCACTTGAGGGATTAAGCACATGCAATCGATCGACTTGCGGATAGTCATGTTGGAACGCTGGTCTGTAGAGTAAGCTCCTATTGTAAAGTGGCCAATGTGTCTGTCGGTCCCCGAGCGCGATTGCGCTCTGGGGAAAAGGCTGAACAGTACGAAATTATGACGGAAAGTACGTATATTTTCAATGAAAATTTAGCATAAAAAAAAACAGGTAAAATTGAAAAACAAAAACCGCTATACTTTATTTTACTGTTTAATTATACTACGGTTCCTGGAGAAACTGCCTTCCAAGTGGCGCGCTGGGATGAGCGATAGAAGTTTTCGAGCTCGCTATGGCGTAGCTACAAAACTTAACACCTGCCACAAGTCGCGGCTTTGACTGCATTCAAGTTGTTCAAAAAGCCATTTCTCTGCCCGTGAAGCATCACTTCCAGCTGAGTGAATATCCGCTCTGCAAAGATTAATTCAAGACGGCAATTGCAGCCGTGCGCGAACAGCAGAAATAGAAAAACAAACACTACAATAGAAATACTGGCTACGAAGTGCCGTGTTTGGAAACAAACTCATGGCTTGGAACCATATTGGAGCGGCTCGATTTATTGGCTTTCAAATAATTACGGCATGATCGAGCGTTTTCGTTTTAATAAGAGGTTCATCCTCTGAGCCATTAAAAATACTCACAAATGTATGACATTGCTGGAAAAAAAATCAACATGCTGGGAATATTTTTTATTGCTTAGGGAGTCACCGAAAAATACCGTACGTGCAAAAACGACCAGTATAAAAGACGGAAGCGCAGAGCACGGGAGTAGTGATGGGGTTAGTGTGTTGTTGAATTGATGTGCGTATGTGGCGATGCATTGTGTATGCGCTCAATATATGTTCACCTGATGCTTCTAGTATGCGTAATGTGTCTACATGAGTCACGGTGAGGACAGCGCGCTCCTCGCGACGTGCCAGATAAAGTTCGCGCTTCACTCTCTCTCTCACTATGGTTTCAACCGGCGCCGGCAGGTGACTCGTCGACCCGTGGGCACGTACAAAACACGGCTCGTGCCCCCTCATGTACCACAAGCGCAGAGCTCCAACGAGGTTGTCGCACGTGCAGAGAAAGACCACGGTGTATACCGGGCTGTCATGGCAACGAGACAATTTTATTGCTCTCACACAGTTTCGCCGTTTGGCCGCCGGCGACACTGTCAGCCACGGGCACGGTGGCAGCGGAATGATCCAGCCTTTCGGATGCCCGTCGAACGAACACTATCTGATTCCTCGCGCCGCGCGTTCAGTCCCGCCGTGTCCTCACCTAAACAGTGTATCTTACACCGTGACATGAGTGTATAATAAAGGTTCCCAAAGATAACTAAACTCAAAGATCGCGTGAGAAAATAAATATTTTTTGTAGAACATGAATTGGGCGGTACCTAGCGCCACCTAGCCTAGCTACTTGCGATTACTCTGCTTGACCCTGCCATCTGGTGGCAAGCGATTTAACATCCTTTTACGCTACGTGGCTACGCCATAATTTCGTGCTACCGTGCTGGAATGAGCCAAGAGGTTGCTCCTGATTTGATTTTTTTTTAGAACGGCTTTTGATTTGGCCAGCGAATGGTTTACCACTCCTCCGTGATGTGCGGTTGACGCGAACGGTTGACGAAGGAATAGTGGCTCGAGGAATAGCAAAACTAAGACATAAAGTGGGCGAATGGGGTGCCGGTTGCCTTCGCTTAGCATCGCAGTGCTGGCTATGAGAAGACTGAGTGGCTGCATGCTTTCGAAACGTAAGCTTCTTTACCTGCAGGGAGAAGCCGGCTTCGGAAATAAATACAGCTCGCGGAAAGCTCATGCTACGTTTTTATTTGCTGCTCCTCTCTCTCCGTACAATAGACTTGGTGTTTTCGTTAAGCCTTTTTGAAACGAACGCCGAAACACATGTCTCATGATCGAACAAGTGGGTTTCAAATACTCGCCGCTCCAAAAATCTGTATGCTGACGTCCAAGTTCCTCTTTGATGCTCTCTGCTACAAGATCCTGGCGCTCCAAATTTACGACCGGCCACTCTATTGCTCCGTCGTCGAACTACCAGGCTTTGTGTGTATAGAGAAGGCTATGGGTCATGCCACTCGCGATCCTGGTGGCGTCCCAAATGCTGTGGCGGATGCGGCAGACGCCTGTCCTGCTGCAGGTCACTCTCAAGCGTGGGAGTCCACGGAAGCTTCGGTAGTCATAAGTTGGGACGCCGTGACGACAGCGACACTCACGTTAGGTTGTGCTACTTGCAGCTTCTCCTTAGCATTTCTACGACCAACCGCCAGGATCGCGACGTGGAACTGCATGACACTTCGTCTTCTGTGACATCATATGTCGCCACTTCGGGACCACCTTTGATGTATGGGCAGCATAGCACGCTATGCACCCCATTCAACGACGCACTCCAGGCACTATTGTTTATACGAAAACAAAAATGTCCTTTTGTCGAGTCGGATTTCAGGCAAGTGACCAATGGACCTTGGCAATATTTTTCCCTACGATCAACGGCCTTATCATCTGAGCTATCTACGGTTATTACTTTTCTTTATTTCCGATGTTCTACAAACAGTAGAATGCACTCAATCGCGGCACTATATAGTGGACCATGTCACTTGAATTCTGTTCTTTGGGCTTAGCTTATAGACAGCATTTTTTTGGATGATGATTATAATGCTTTCAGTAAGCTTCGCAAAAGCCGTCAAATATTCGGCTTCAGGATAGAGTCATCGGTACATGACAGCTATAATACGTAGACTTTCAACAAAGTAACTGCGTTCTGAGCGAACATTTACGGGTGCTTGACGTACTGCCATTTTGGCACTCCAGATGGGCGCATATATTTCGGAAAGTTAAAGGCACCATACATCTCATTTCTTTCTCCCTTTCATAACGCTCCGGTGTCTCGTGAGTGTCGAGCATGCACTTGACGCCTTAGAAATGCAAAAGCGGTGATTGCGTGCTCGAAGCCGGCTCTCAAAAGGGACATACCTTGATTTTCACCTTGTGAGTGACCACACAACGTGTTGGCTGTAGCAATACCACCCGGCAGACAAGGTCTGCAGCTCTGCCCTCCCAAACGTCATCACGAGGGAATCCACGCAGAGCTGCCAACCTTGTGTCATCATCGTGGACGACGCGAGTTGAAGGGTCTCTCACGAAACGAAGCAACGCTAGCACACCGTTAAGCCAAGACGAAAGCGTCTGCCGCTTCACGGCGGATCTCGTCGAGCTTTATTGTCTACATCGCTTTGGGCGGGTCAGGGGCACACTAAAGATGACGTAACGCGCAGGCCTTATCTTCGAGGTGGTATTGGAGCTAGTTCACGCCACGTTCTGCCGGCGCGTGCGCAGTACCATCCGGGCCGACGACCTTGCTTGCACGCCCTGTGACTTGGCTTTACAGTGTCGTAGCGGATCCGAAGAAGGAGAATATCAGTTGCGGTTCACTGAGGAGGCTCGTCGTAAGCAATGTAAAGAGAGCGCTCGCAATAAAAATAAAGAACACAAGCAAAAATCGTCAAATAATTCTCAAAATGACGCTCAAACGGCAACGCAGAGACGACAACGGCCCCTCAAGGATAGCTATTTACGCAAGCGGCGAGCTGAGCTTGCAGTGACACACAGTACGCGGAAGCATACATGCACTCTACATTTTCCAGCTGCTTGGACTCCTGTTTGCATGCACGTCCTGGCGTTGAAACGGGTGTCGGGCAGTGTATCACACTACATGTTTGACTTGAGCTAGTTGGTACATATTGAATAGGGTCAGCTGAACAGTTACAAATGAGAAGAACCGAGAGAGGAATTTGTAACTGTTCAGCAGACCCTATTCAATGGGTATCGCACGTTGGGGTGTGCGATCCCCACTGAGCCGCTTCATAGAAATTGCTTATTACAATTAATTTTGATCAATTAAGATAATGTAGAAGTACGTACTAAAAACTGTGTCACGTGTTTTATTTGTGTATTCATGCGTTTCCTGCTTTTGGGTTATCCGTGCTCTTTATGTTGGATGTTGGCTTCACCACGTGTATCTGTATGTCCGCGTAAGCGTTTTGCTTACGCGTACATCCCCGTAAGCAGAACGCTTGTCGCATAAAATCCAGACCTTAAAGCGCATTCTTTGTTAAAAGTGATATTGCCCAAACAAGGCTGCAACAACACCAACATTGAATTTTAATATCTTGTAGTAACCCTATTAAAATGTTTACCACTCACGCAGTACTGCAGCGAAACACTTGAAAGGAGTATGAAGTACTGGGTTGATGACTGGAAGAAATTGCAAGCAAAGGTGAAAGGAACTATGTGCCCAGGAGAAAGGAAAACGACTAAATAATTCCTAAATTTCATGGGAAGCGGAAAGTACCAGTAATATATGTTATTCTTCAAAAGCTATATTTTTATAGTATGATGCGAAATCCTAAAATCAAATCGAAATGTACAAGTCTTTATGGCTTATTGTTTTTGAAATAAAACTGTCTCATCCAAAATGTCTTGGAGTAATTTTTGTTGCGGTTTTTTCATGATCTTGTAAACAGAGTGGTTGTCCATGTGTTTCAGCACGGCTGTACCAGAACCAGAGTAGTATAACAGGCAAGAATGTTTAACCTTTTTTTAGATGTTATGTATGTGCTCAAGGAGAGCCTGACTTCAAGATTTAAGAAAATATATTATATCGTAAAATTACAGTCCTGATAGTGATCACTGTGTGGTCGCTCATGAGACCACCCTTATTACGTCTGACGGTACTACACTCCCTGTATTATCCGACCACCGGATATCTCGACGCATTTAACATGAACTCAAATATTCGGCCACGTTTTTGGGAGTTTGGCCTCTGCTCTTACGATGCCTAATACACCACATTTTGTATTTTATATAAACAGAACAGTCGTCTAACCACACTAACCTATCAAAAATCACTACCTTCTGACACAATAAGCACAAACTTATTTGAGTTCCTGACTATCAACACTCATGGAAACCTTTGGATGGTCATCGCTGCTTACCACTTACTAGATTCACAGAAACGGTGGCTGACCCCAAAGGCAACGCAAATAGAAAGCCCAGTTCTTCATTGAAGAGGTACTTCTTCGCCATGGGTAACACTCGTCCTGCTCAGCGACAGTAGCTTACAGGGCATTTCTTTCTCACATGCTCGAAGATGTGCTCTTGGTATACCATGGTGTCCGCAGAACCAGGTCGACCGCCCGTATACGGAAAAATAAGCTCAAAGAATCCTTTTACTGTGCCCTTGGTGCAACAACCTTCGTGTGCATTTTTTTTTCGGATCTCAAAAACTGGAAAATTATGCACCCATTTGTCACCTACAATTCGAATACCTATATACAGAGTACGGTCAATACTCCCTTTAAGATGTTATATAAGGACGGTAGCCTAAATATGCGTTGAATTCAGTAATATATCCGTCACACTCAGCGCATCGTAGCATAAATTTAGATTAGTACTGTAAAACGCTTCATTTTCGCGGCCCTTATTTTTCGCAAATCGGTCGCAGAGGACCTAATTGCGGCGATTAAATTTCGCGAATTCCAGAAGCCAGCATTGAAACACTTTAGGGCCGATATTTTCGCGGGTCCTTAAATTTCATCGAATTTTAATTCGCGGAAATTAAGGGCTTGCGAACATAAATGGTTTTACAGTCTGTACAATACGCAGAAAACACCGGGGAACTCGCACAATGTTACACATATTAGCATCAGCAGCAGCGTAAACGGCGTTACTACCTTAGACACCAAGATATTATCTTTGAGTCTGGACAGTTGGTGGTTATCTCTTTGAAATAACGGCAACCAGGGCGCTATGAAAAATGTCTTATCGACTGCGTGGCCCCCACAAAGTACAAAATCAGACATCGGTAAATTGCTTTGTCAAGCCTCTATGAGTTCCTTCCTATCGCCGACGTCGCTGACGTGATGTGCTTCATGTTGGCCGGTTAATACTAGGGCTGGGCGTCGATTAAAAATTTTAACCCGATTAATCGCCACCCTTTAATCGATTAATTAATTGATTTATCGGTCGCCGTTGATTTTTATAAAGCATATATAAAAAGAATGCAACAACTCGTCTTGCTTTTGAAGACTTATTTTACTCTCTGTTACACGGTGCAAAGGACATTTACAATTGAGGATACATATAGTTCAACGATTCAAAGACTCGCATATTTTTGCTCCAGCTCCGAAGACTAAGAAGTTTGTCCACTTTCCCCGACAGGACGACAAGAAGTCAGGGCTTGGGCGATGCTTTCTTCTCTCTTCAGAGAAAGTGGCCTCGACGGGAAGGCGTTGATTGTTGTCTGCGTTTTGGCGGATGGTCCTTGCTGCAGCGGCGTACATGGGTGCTTCGCTCGTAGGTGAGACTGAAGCGAACGTACGCTTCCGCTGTATGAAAACGGCTTTTTGCAGAGGATGCAGAGGTCTTCCTTCGAGTTAAAAACTTCTCCACTGGAGTTTACTTTAAACCCCAACTTTCCAGCGAGATTGCCTTTCATACTCGCGAACTCGTCCATTTGTACGAGCCGAATACTGGAACAAGTAACCATGGCCTTGTTAGCTTCCCAGCTTGTTTTTCTGCTTGTTTGTCTTCCCTGGGCAGGATGTGCCCAGGGAAGACAAACCTCAACACGTGAAGTTTCGCGGTCGTAAAGGGATCAATCGCGGGTCCGGCTTGTTTGTCTGGCCTCGGTAAAACTGTAATCTATATCCTCGAATACGTGACGCTTCGCGAGCGCGAGAATTGAACCTTGCTCATACTCATAGCACCTGGCTGGGAACAGAAAACCGCTCAGGACAGAACGACCGGATGCACGCCACGCAGCGCTTTCCTTAAGGGGGGGGGGGGGGGGGGGGGGTAATGAGTCGCCCCTAGTTCGGGCAGGTCGTCCAGGATTGCGTCCAAACCGCTGACCGCTGGACGCACTGCGTGCGTCCAGCGGTCACTATCGGAAACAAGATACAACTTTAAATACTGATTAAAAAACCGATTAACCGGTTAAAAAATTTGATCGCGATTAAAGCCTTAATGATTAATCGGAAGGTTAATCGATCAATTTCCCAGCCCTAGTTAATACATTCACATTCGTGGACTGACCATTGTAAGAATTTACTGACCGGCAGGCAACACTTCACACGCTGGGCGTGGGAGAAGGAGGGCACGTGAGGGTACTTAAAGAACACCGACGTGACGTTTATCATGTTCAAACTGGCTATCGTCGTCATATATTTTATACTCATTTCTTTTCGCCCGCTCGAGAGTTTGCGCCTCTCCTTTAGTTTTCTCGAGCGCCGTCACGGAATAAATCTATCAAAGTAAATGCCCCTTTTTGTCCTAGAAACTCATACTTACTCGTCTGGGTCGTGTCAAAGCAGCCTTCTGACCTTTTGTAGCGAATCGTTCTTGCCCTGGTATAGTGGCTTGGAACTATCTGGGTCAGAAGTGGCAGCCAGTGCCAACGTAATGTCGTTTCCGAACAGCACATCTCGCCTTTAGGAACACGCCACATGCATACTGCTAACGTCAGTGAGGGGCGTTTTCACACCAGCAGCCGATGCCAACTTTGACGATTCTAGGAAGCAGCGGTGAGTTAATCTCCCTTTCGCACACGTCAGTATCCCGTGGGTTTAGAACATTTTAGTGGAAAGTGAGAACACAGTGTGCAAACATACTTGTTTGCGCTCGCATTTCTATGAACGCAAACGTTGTGCTTGAAATCCAATATTCATTAGGCCTGAAGTTGTTTATGATGGTTCAAAAGCTTAAATTTAGCGAATGTCTTCAACGCGATTTTGTCCCAAATGACGAGGTGACAAAAAAGGAATAACTGGGGAAACTGAAACGTTTAATGGAGCGAACTTGTGCCCAAAACAAAAAGGAAACAGAGGATAACAACAGAGTGTCCGCTGGCATCGAAGTCTCCGTAACAGCTGGATCGAACGCTGGTGCGAGACTGAATCCGGCTGGCCCCCGCGGAGCCCCTTATTCACACGCGTGGGCTTCTGGAACATTCGTCGTAGAACATTCTGCGCGTACAAAATTCGGACCTTGTACGCGCAACAGGAGTCTACAATTTACTAGAATGCGAGAGTTAGATATAATATAAATGCACCTCCGCTGCCTCGAATCGAACCGTGGTCTTTAGCATGGGAACCAAGCACGATAACCGTTAGGCAAAGGACGCGCTTTTTTTTTTCTTTATTGTTAGGCAAAGGACGCGCTGCTTACTTTGTCAGCTGCGCGCGCGGCAATATAAATTTTATTTCGACGTGGTATTCTTAAAATGGCCTATTCTTAGATTTATGAAGGACTTAAGTTATGATCTTTTAAGAGTAAGCGCTATAATTTTTATAAATACTGCGACTAAATTAAGTTATCAGTCAGGTGGGCACAGCGGCAGGGCACCCGGCAAGATGTCGCTTAACCCAATTTCGTTGTTTACGCAGCTGTTGCTGTTTCTTGGTGCTCCCGTCGCCTCCAGCCAGTTTAACGGCACCGATTACGGCAGCAAAGGTTCTTCGTAATGTTGCTTTTCACGGACTGTTACGTGGACGTTGTCATCGCTTGGGGAATCACCACCCACCACTGAACCAAACCAACCGCGCATCGACACGTCGTTCTTGGTCCCAGCACCATCGTCATCAACGGCAGGATCAGAGGGGATAACCTGTCGCCCGCCAACGGATCCTCTCAGAGGGCACAGCGGCAGGGCACCCTGCAAGATGTCGCTTAACTCAATTCTGTTGTTCACGCAGGTTATTAAAAAAAATGTATCGGTTTTACGAAGTGATGATTGATGTCTTGTTCTGCTGCTGTACTCAAGCAGCGTGTTTTCTTTTTTGTCTAAGTGGCTAAGGTAAGAGTGCGCTTATTAGTAGGATTCTATTAAAAAAAGGAGACGTTGTGGATAACACATATTTTGGCATATTGGCATTGATGAACCATTAAAGCAAGAAGTTTCAAAAACGTGTCATTGACGTGCCCACATTGCGACATCCCGTCGAGAGGCGCGTTTCAAATCTAGACTATGACGTCGATAATAAGCTTCGGTTGGCCTAAACGGCTGTTAAGCTTTCAGCTTAACACTTAATAAATGTACGAATATCGGAAACAAGATACAACTTTAAATTTTTGTTCGCCAAGTTGCATTCGATAAAATCATGAGAGAAAAACTTTTGGATACAATCACCCTGAAGGAAACCACTTATGGTGTCGACATCAAGACCGCCTTGTTAACTACGTTGAAGAGATTCGACGGTCCTCAGCCTAGACTTGTCGCAGTCGCAAGTGATGATGCACCACCAATGCTCGTAAATATGGCAG